ACGAAAACTTATGCTCCCAATACTTCTGTTAGTCTCAAAGGTGCCCCAGGACCCTCTGTTGCATCTAGACAGATTATTTATATAATGAAAGCACCTAAAACCCCCAATCAACATCAGGTACTGTATAATCATATAGGTAAGATATGGTCCCTGCCCCCCCAAAGAGCTCACTTACACTAGTGTAAATCCAGAATAAATCCTCTAAAGTCAGGTACAAGATCAGAATCCAGACCAGTCGTACTTAGTTTCATTTATCTGGTTTTAGTCTTAAGCTTTCACTTTGGAGCATCACAAAGACTGAACAGAAATATTAAATTCAAAGATATAAAGAGGTGCCTACCTCTGTCTCCCCTATACCTAATACCATACATCACTAACTTTAGAATCAAATTCACCTCCATTACACTCAAATCTAGTGTTATCTCACTGTTGTTGATTTCAGAATTGCTTAGAAAACAGACTAAAAAATTCCAAACCCTTTAAGAGAGTGAAGGGCTAGCCCATCATATATTCTGAAACAGATGGAGTTTGTTACTTAGGGTACGTCTATACTTCCTTCCTGGTCCGGATGTAAGCGATCGATCTTCTGGGATCGATCCATCACATCTTGTCTAGATGCGATAAATCGATCCCGGAAGTGCTTGCCGTCGACGCCGGTACTCCAGCTCAGCGAGAGGAGTACGCGGCATCGACGGGGGAGCCTGACTGCCGCGTCTGGACCCGTGGTAAGTTCGGACTAAGGTACTTCGAATTCTGTTAATAACGTAGCTGAATTTGCGTACCTTAGTCCGAAGTGGGGGGTTAGTGGGGACCAGGCCTCAGAAAGATTAGAGGGACACTGACAGCTATTATACTGAGGTCTTTTTTTTTTTTGCTTTACTCTTCAATGTTTAATACCATCTTAAAAATTTTTGAAAATAAGAATTTTGTTCTAATTTATACAGACTGGCAGCAAGAATAGCTGCGCACACTGACAGTGTTGATAAAGAGTCAATAGAGTGAAAACCAAGAGTGTGGAACACTTCTTATTTTTTACAGAGTTTATAAAAAAATTTTTTAAGGCAGTGATGGAACTGTGGATTTTAACTAACAAAGATTTATGATCCAGAGGACATTCTCCATCAGAGTACAACCACTTTCACGTGCTGTAGGTCACATTTTGAGCCTTAAGTGTGCAGTAGTCTCCCTTTAGATGTTTCAGCCTAAAGATCTGTAATCAATCACAGAACTGAAACTAAGTTATAGTAAATTTCTCTTAGTAACTCGAGCAAGGGGATTGACCTTGAACTTTCTGCCTTCTGGATCTGGGGTCCCAGTCAACCTTGCAGCAGGGGGTCACAAATAGGATGACTTGTTGTTAAAAGCCAGGTGTAAGAGTTCTTTGGGGCAAATAACAATAGAACAAAAATATATGAATAAAAAGAGAGGGAGAGAAGACAAGCTTCATATGAGGTACTCCTGGAGAATTAGATCTTGCTCTTCTGATTTCTCTGTATTTTTTTTATATTGTATTGAAACTAAGAGGGCCCTAAACCCAATTCCGAAATCTGAACACCCATAAATGTTGGAGAAACTCTTATCCAGATCTCAGAACTGAGTATCAGGCCCATTGCTAGATGTGTGGTGATAAATGAACAGTGCATTTATTAGTTATCTTAGGGAGTGGGGCTGCTAAAATCAGGTTGTTACAAATCAGTCATTCTCACCCATATAGCATAGTAAATTTAACATGAATGAGCCAAGTAATTATGAGGTCTCTTACCTTAATTAAAACGTTATCATAGCTAGTAGGGTTCATAACATCATAACAAATTAAGACCATGTTTGTATTCTGGTATGAAAGTGGTCGTAGCCGATCATAATCCTCCTGCCCTGAAACATGGGAAAAAAAGTGATAATGCTTTGGATAAAAAACCTCATTCTTTATAATATTACAATGCAGATATTTTAAAATGCATTCCCATTGCCCACAGTATGTCTTGTCTTAAAAACAGTAATGACAGATTGTAAACATTTTTAATAAATCATTGGCCTTAATAGGATGAGTTCCTTGTTTGAAAATGTATAAGAAGATATGTTTAAGAGAATCAACTTGATAGTAAAAAGGTCTATAAACATTGAATCCTTGTGAAATCTCAGTATGAAGCAAATGGATTTTTTTTGTCTAAATGTTCAATATTTTGCAACTTGGTACTAAGCAGGACACAAAGCCATATGGTGCAGGATCTGAAACATGAAGGCTGGATTGTCATTCACTAGCAGAGACAAATGCAGGAGTCTAGACTGGAAGCTTATTACTGATTAAAAACCTGTGGAATTGGCAAGGGTCTTATTGACATACAGGGTTCAATGGGCAGGAAGCATGCCTACTTTTTGCCAGATGTGAATGCAGCATAATAAAAAGGCTTAAATAACAAATGCCCCTCTCTTACCGACGTCAGTGAATGGAGCGAGGTAATGAGCATGACAACTGCCACCCCTCAGATGGATTGCCGTCCATTAGTGAGCACGTAGCCTCACCAAGCTACACCGCGCAGCATGCCCAATTCTAAAGAGTACTACTACCAGCTGCTAGCTGATTTTACAAGATACACAGCAACATGAGCCAGTCTTAACTGATCTATGAAATGGGCCTTAAGAGTTGCTGATGCCACCTGGAAATGTTTGTAAAAATTTCCTTTTAGGAATAATTTGACATGTGGGGAATTCATTTTACTATTCACACATTCACATGAGAAAACTGGTGTGCTTATTTCCCTGTATTTATGACATACCAATCACCTTCAAACCAGAGCATTGTGATGTCACACTGAGCAAGCGTCTGGAGGTGGCCAATCGGCACCAGAGGCAGTTGAACTAAGAAATCAAAGATCCTGTTTCATCAAAGGCCAATAGTTCAATAGGATGTTTTTCAAAGTTTTCCAGAAGGCACCAGCGGATGTTTAAGAAGACAGTGAAGACTCTGATGACCACTTGAGAGCTGACCCATGTGTCAGGTATGTCAGCAGGAAGTTTTTGACTTTCCAAGAAGTGAGTCAGAGATGCCAATCCTTTTTGCATTATTATTTTCATATAGTTACTGAGCACCATGTGTGCCTGATACTATACAAAAACACAGAGGCAATTCCTGCCCAAAGGCAATCACAAATAAAATCTTTGCATCAGCATTACGTAGAGCGTACCCCTCTGCTAACCATTATTTCACCATACTTTCTAATATACAGCTGTTGTATCATGGTATTCAACACAAAGCCCTACACTACTTATTGTACTCAAAATGCTTGACTCCAAAGTATGGTGCTATCAGGAAGGGCATGGATACAGAAAGAACAATATTGCTACAGAGCATTCAAATCTTTCACCTGAATATTTAACCCCTGCTGGTAACAGGATTTCCAACTATTTGCATAAAGGGATGGTGGGGGGTTAGGACCCAATTCTACATGGTGCCAAGAGCCCTTAATTTCAGTGGAGTTAAAAGCATTTAGTATTTCAGAGGAGACGCTCCAAAACAGTGCAGAATTGGGTCCTTAAACTTTTAATCCCAGAATAAGACAATTAAGGAATTTATTGTGCTCTGCAGTGTTTATATAACATGCAACAACTGTATTTCTAATCCTTCTCATTTTCTGAAATCCACCTCGTTGTTTGCACCAGATTTACCACTTTTTTGGGGGGGAGGGGGAGTGTAATATAATGCTTTGCTTAGGTGATCATCTAAAGTTGTATTAAATTTCAGGAGAAAAAAAAATGAGAAGGAAATTAGTTGTAAAGCAATATGGCTGGGATGTGTGTGTTTGTACACGTGCTTCTTTCACTCACGTTTATTACTCTTAGCCTGCACAAAGGCAACTTTATGAAATCAAGCTATCCTCTAGCAGCCAGTTATAAAATTACCCACAGTAACCACTCCAGCCTCTCAACTCATTTGCTGCTACTTTGCCATAACATTTGTGATTGGTGAAGCAGATTGATGGATGTTCCATTTTACAAAGTCATGATGACCTGCCCAAGTTGGAACAGAGCAAAAACACTTAGTCTGATGAACATGCCAGGGATCTCAAAAGAGCTGCTTTTGATGGTGTAAATGAAACTGATGTGCCATAACGAGAAACGGAACAGATAGATATGACATCACAGGGCTTCATCTTCACAGTCAAAGTTGAGGGTGGGTTGAGAAGAACCAGGTATTTATTTTTAATTGTAGACTAAGATAACCAGATAAAGACATGAGGAAACGTAGATTTACACAGGCTTAACATGTTTTTTCTTATGTATTTTATACACCTCAGGAATGGCAAATACAGAGCATAGCAAAAGCTAAAATACACACACCATAATGGGAAGGCTAGAAAGGACATGGTTTATGGAAATAGAACATGATCTGATTCCAGAGAGTGCTTATTTGTTTCTCTTCAACTGTGCCAAAATTAACAGCTACAGAGTTGTTCTTAACAATAGTTGTGTTATAACTTTAGCAGGCTGAAACTCATCTTAAACAACATTGGACGAAGGACACTTTCAAGTTCTCTGTTGCAAATATAGATACTTTAGCACTTATGTTGTGGTAGATATATATATATAGAATAGTGCAATAGGAAATGTTTGCCCGTATGTGAAATCCTATTGTCTGAGCTATTGTGCTTTCTCTTTTTTGTAAAAAGCATAATAACAAAACCTGTGTGAAAGAAGGAATGATGGAACTAAGGGTTTGTTTATACTGTATTCGCATAGACATACCCGAGCTAGCTTTAATCAAGCTAGGTTGAAGCTGTAACAGTGAGTGCTTCAGCACAGAGTAGCCCTGTAAACAATTGCCCAGGGTTCTCAGTGGGCTTGTACAGGTTTAGCTTTGGTATGTCTACTCAAGCTGTAATCACACCCTATGAGTAGAGTATACACATGCACCAAATGTTTTAGCGTTTAATTGCCATAAAGAAGTTGGAGGAGGAGGGGAGAGATGTGCATATTGTAACTAAGCTGCTGGATGACTTCCATCCCCAGCTCCCAGAACAAGTGTGAGGGAAAGGGTTGGGCCACAGCTCTCTGGGAGGGGCAGCAACCCAAATCAATATCTAGCTAATAGAGGGCACCATGTTACCCAGAGTGACCAATCAAAAGAACTACATCAGAAGGCAGAGGGGATCAGGCTCAGGAAAGATCCTGTGTGTGCAGCAGGTTGACGGCAGCAACCTGAAAGCTGGCTGCAGAAGGGATCCATGCCAACACCTCACTGGCATCACCAATTGAGATACCTCGGTTTAGTGCAAGGGTCAGCAGCCTTTCAGAAGTGGTGGGCCGAGTCTTCATTTATTCACTCTAATGTAAGGTTTTTTTTGCGTGCCAGTAATACATTTTAACGTTTTTAGAAGGTCTCTTTCTATAAGTCTATAATATACAACTAAACTATTGTTGTATGTAAAGTAAATAAGGTTTTTAAAATGTTTAAGAAGTTTAATTTAAAATTAAAATGCAGGGCCCCCTGGACCAGTGCCAGGACCCAGGTAGTGTGAGTGCCACTGAAAATCAGATCGCGTGCCGCCTTTGGCACACGTGCCATAGGTTACCTACCCCTGGGTTAGTGATTACATCATCAGACCCCTTGGTGCTGCAAGGCCCAGTAATTCCATATTTGAAAGCTTTTGTCAGACACCAATATGACTTATTCAGGATGCAAACATTTTTTAAATATTATGGAAATGTTAATTAACCAAAACAAAAAACCTCCTCTGACATTTTAGGAACAGGAAAAGGACATCCAACTAAACCAATTTGCTTCATCCAACTCTGGATGGCAGATTCCATTTTCCTAGTCAATCCCCTTTCATTCCTTGGTCCTCCTACCGAGATGGTCAACACAAGGGCTAATTAAAGGTCAGTTGTGGTGGTGGTCTGTGTAATATGGACAACTGTCTTCTAGGAAGTGGAGTAAAATCTCTTAATTTAGGCCAATGAATAATAATCAGATGATTGTAAATTTCAACCTGTTTGCAATGCCCCAGGTTTGACAGGAAGCTATTACATTACATAACATTTTGAGAGACCAGACCGTGATGCCTTAATTAATCTGGGTCCAGTTAGATCCAAAAACTAAGCAATACATGCCTTTCTTCTTGCCCTCAAACACAGTGATGAGAATTGTCAAAATGGCAGACGCATCAAATTCTCATCATCCTGTCACACACACAAAAATCCAAAACCTTATCAAAGACTTGTCCTTTCACAGCTTTCACCATTGCATCCGGATGATGACATGCAAGAACAGTAGTGTGAGAACACCCTTTTCTCAGTAAGGTTACTCAGGCTGTGGTCAGAATTTTTCTTCATTGTGGCTTTAAAACAAAAATTCTGCAAGATGAGATAAAACAAACTTGCAGGACTGAACAGAAGGGGCCACTTAGCTCAGACAAAACCTTTGATTACTTGTGTTCAGTCTCAGTTTTAATTCTTCTCTCTCTGTTGTGTTGTCAAAATTGGTGTATGAAAATTCCATTAAGGTTCTTTTATATATATTTTTTTCTTTCAAAATTTTCAATCATTCTCTTCCCACAGTACACCTCTACCTTGATATAACGCTGTCCTTGGGAGCCAAAAAATCTTACCACATTATAGGTGAAACCGCGTTATATCGAACTTGCATTGATTCGCCGGAGTGTGCAGCCCCGCCCCACCCCCCCGGAGTGCTGCTTTACTGCGTTATATCCGAATTCGTGTTATATCGGGTCGCGTTATATCTGGATAGAGGTGTATTGTAAAATAATTGCTATTTAGCATTAATTTCCTGCATCTTTGTGCCTTTAAGAAGCTGCCTGCACAGTGCTTCACTTGGTACAGCTAATTTCACATGAGATGCTTAATTCCTTACCAAAGAC